AAAGTCACTTACAAAGTAAAGTAAAGAAAAAGTAAAACTAAAAATGGTAAAATTATGGTTATGAGTAAAAATGCACGTAGCGAAATGTATGGAAAGACTAAACTTTACTTTTTAGTTGAAATTAAAACCCTACTTTTAATTTTTTCCATTTTACTCTGAGAAAAATGTACTATAGTCAAAACTACCAGGATTTTTTCAAAATTTACCGCTTCTCTGACTCTACGGGAGAACCAAAACGTTCTGTAATTCCTACCGAAGTGATTTGTTAATAATTTTGGGCAAATTAACAATAAAATACGGCTTTATGATGCGGAAAAAATTTGGTAAATCTAAAATTGTAAATTCATCATGATACCTTAGAGTATGTGATGAAACTATTTATTCAGTTAAGTTTACTTTTTAGTTTTTTCTTCTTCGTTTTTTTTTTATAAAATGTGTGGTAATAAGAACTATTATTTAAATATGGTTTTAAAGGTCTAATCTGTAAGACCAAACTTCCCACTAAGCCGATAACATACGAACGGAAAAACTATCAAATTAATAGATTAAATACCGAATATTTTGGTATTATAGGCCAGGAAAATGTTTTTAACCGGAATTTTCATTACATGCATTGCTTTAAATTTACCACAATTTTTTCCCCTAAAATGTTAACTTCTGAAAAATAAATAAGATCCATGCGTTTGTTCTAAAAATGATTCAAAAGAAACCTTTAATCAATTATCCTAAAAATATTGATTATATCTTGGTACTAAATATAAATGTTGCAATATGCGACTAGCTTTCCGACATATTCATTTTCAATATTTTGAAATAAAAGTTTGGCTATACAAATTGAAAAATAGTAATTTGTACGTAAAGTTTACCTTAAAAATTAATAAATGGAAATTTTTTTCTACGATAAGATCAAGTAGATAATGCTTTTGTTTTAATAATATGAATAAAGAAAAAAAATTTCTACACATAGTATACGATACTCTTAAAAAATACTTCTAATTATTTGCTTAATCAGATTCACAAATTTATGCAATTTCAAAACGACAGATTTCATTCTATTGCGTTCTTAATACTTTTCATGATCCTGAAATAGTAAGACATTTCGCAACTCTTCATGCATTCAAAACATTATCATTTCCGTTTGATTTATTGCTTTCAGAGTTTGACAAAAACCACCCTGATTAAACAAAAATAGCGGAATAAAAGTAAGTTGACAACGCGCAACGCATAACATCCTTAAAAACTTTTTGAGAAAACTCATAGCCTTGTTATAATTAACGTGAGTACCAATTGATGTATTTCCAATTATATTAGTAATAGTAATTATACGGTTTTTGGATTAACTAACACTATTTTTTTATATATATCTTGAAAGACTGAGAACAGTTCAGATTTACACAATCGCGCCAAATAAAAAATGGTCTTAAAGTAACCATGCAACCATTAGTGTGTAAATTGTACAGACCTTGCAATCATTATTTAAAGAACTATTATATTTATAGGTGCTTCTTTTGCAAATATTTTAATACTTGAAAAATTGAATTTAAACTGAAAGTATAACAAAATGCATTAAAACGAAATACAAAGAAATTAGTGTCTATGAACATACGCACTGAAAAAATTCCAGATCTATTTACGTATAAAGTATCGGCACTTTAGGTGCATAAACCCAGAAATCTATTTTACTGTAAAATTCAGCTTTACAGTGCAGTACTATATCATAATTTCTACAGTAATACTTATTTAATTAGAGGGATTCAGTGATTTTACGAAAAACATTACCGTAAATATTACGATATTTCATATTTTTTGTGTCTTAACATGTTTCAATAAAAATGAAATTTTCGATGAAAAGTACCAGCAGACTGAGTGCCAATACTTTTTACCATAATTTAGTCCGGAACTTTCTACAGTTTGAGAAAAAGAAAAGATGTCCTCCTTTATCTTTCTTTTCTCAGATATCATCTTCTTAAATGAAATAACTATGTAATAATTTTTCCCCAATAATTTATTTTTTGCGTAGTAACAAAAATAGACTCTCAGCAAAATTTATCGTAATAAAAATGAATTTAAATAATTTATAGCAGTAATGTTTGATACCTACCGGGTAAAGAGTTTCAATTGTAGTATATACAATTAACTATAGTTAGTAAAAGTAATACTCCAACATCTTCTAACCTTAAAAAGTTTAATTTTCTTATTATGGTTATTTAAGCTTGATTTCAATTATATAAATATTAAGTATTGCGCTTTAACCATACCTTTACTTAAGTCTTAAAGAAATAGAAATAATATATGAAACATGCATCGATACACATTAACGATGAAATCTAATTAATTTACATACACAACTTTAATTTAGAACAGAATTTTTCTTTCAATCTGAAGTGTTCTTTTATTAAAAATTTTGCGCTAGCTTAAAAATAATTATTTTTTATTTATTCATTGTTTATTTGAATTTTTTTAAGGTATTTTAATTGTAGTAAAGAAGAGAATTAGTGTAGTTAAGTGTCTCTTAAATAAAGACATAATTTAAAATCAACTTGCAAATCAGTTTTAATCACACATTTAAAAGCATCTAATTAAAGTAAATGTTAAATCGCGAAAGTTCTATTAAACTGAAAATGTGAATTTCTATTCTTCTTTTTTCTAGAATCGAACGTTTTGCATTATATTTAATATCGTTGAAAGAAAAGCATAAAATAATTTTAAAGCTTAAAATTGTGTATTAATGTTAAATAATAAGTAAAATAATATTATTTGGCCCGGAAAGTAATGCTGTTTCGGTGCATTTAATATTTGTTATCAAGATTTTTTTTTAATGAATAATGTATTCACCTTCGTTGGCAACAACCTTTCAATGCCGGATTGAAAATGATTCGAAAAAAAATTAATTGGTATTTAAAACTAACGAATATTTAATGCGCTGAAACGACATTACTTTTTGGTTCCTCTAATATATAAAAGTAAAGAAAAAAATCAAAATACTTTAAAAATAATTCATTATGCCTGGAAAAGGACGCAATACACCGTAAAAAACTCTGAACCAAATTATCAAATTATCTGTATTGTATGTACGATATGAAGTCATCCTTAAAATCATGTTTGCCGTAAAATGCTAAACCTTAACTTAGACAGTAATATTTATTTAACTAGAGTAATTTATTAATTTACGGTAAATTACGGAATATCATAGTTTTGATCCGTAACATATTGAGGTAAAAATAGAAATATCGGTAAAAAGAACCAGCACCATGAGTGCCAGAACTTTTTACAGTATTTAAATATCTTTATACAATTGGAAATAATTATATATTTGTGATACTAACTCGTTATTTTAATTACATAAAATTCGCATAACTACTGAAAAGCACGTTATATCATTTGACTCGTTCTTGGATCGATTAAAAGACGACTCCGTATTTTTAATTGACGGAAGAGAAAATATCCTGCTATTTGTTTCGGATAGTATAAAGTGTTCGCTTTTGTTTAGAAAGATTTTAAGTAATCTATATTGAATATACAATCTCTAGTTTCGCGATGTATTAAATACTTAATTTTTCACTCCTTTTTTTCTTCTTTGCTTTCTTATAGGTAAATATGTGAAAATCGCTAGTTAAAACATCACAAAGATCTATCCTACAACTTTGTTTTATCTTTAAAGAAATGTACAGTGTGCAATAAGAGTAACTGACCACACTGAATAACTTTTGATCTAATGATTGAATCTCCACAATCTAGGACTCAATCTTAATGGTCCAACCGGGTGAAATCGAGTATGGTATTTAATTATTGCTGCCGATATTTTAAGGGGAGTCGATAGGGCATATACCAATAATGTTAAAACTAATATCTTTTTCGAAGTATTTTTTTCTCAAATCTGAAAAATGCATTGTTTTAGTTTTTTTCCCTGAATAGTATATGCATTTACATATTTTAGCAGTGATAACTGTTAATACCTATCTTTGTTAGAATTTTTTTTCAAAAAATTATGAGCAGAGAACTTTTAATTTTTTTAAAAGTTTCATTATTATAGAGCGAAAATCTATCATTACTCAAAAAGTATTCCTGTTAACACAAAACAAATTATCACAGCTTACAAATGATATAATCTCAAATATCTCCAAGAAATTTCAAAATGTTGTCATAAGTATTTTCTTAAAAAAGGTACATCGAAAAATTTCAGTTTTAGCATTATTGGTATATACTCAACCTACTTTCCTTAAGTTACGAAATCAGACAACAAAACGTTTTTTAACTTCAATAAACATACTGTTTTTCAACGAATATGGATTTCTGATAACTAAAACATAGCGAATACCTGCAATATGGTCTCAAGGCAACTCTTAATAGTTAGGTCATGAAGGCGGGCAAAAGTTTGGACCCCTTAAAGTTATCTTCACTTTTTGCATATTTTGCCATAGCTCAAAAACTTTTTGAGCGAATCAGAACAATTTTACATGCAATTATTAAAGTTGCATAGCCAAAGATAATTCCCTGTATAAAAAATTTTGAGAAAATATTTATTATTTAATTTACTAGGAGTTAGAAAGTTTTAAATTGCAAGATAAACAATTGCTTACGTCATATTAAAAAAACCGATAGTATACCGCAAAATACAAAATTTGAGTTAATAATCGTTCCTGCCGAATCGAAATTTAATAAAGTCGTATTTTTAGTTGTATGTCTTTTCGTTGAATCCTGGAACGTGGAGATCCAATTATTAAATCAAACGTTATGTTTTTTCTTTCTTTTTTTGCGCCATGTACATTCTTAAAAAAACGTACATTTATATGGTACAATAATTTCTTAATTTCTCCTCATATGAATTTATTTTTTCTGCCCACCACTGTATTTCTCAAGGTAAGGCAATTCAGAATAATCCAGCCTTGAATCATAGTGTAAAAATATACTTGTAAAATCTAATTGTAAATGAAATATGTAGTACTACTCAACATTTCGATTATTTATTAATTGCTTTCTTTGTTCTAGTGAGCGCTTATTTCAAGAAAAAATCATGCACAAGATTTTAGCTATTCTGTTACTTTTTGCGATTATTGGTACTGCTTATACGCAATGCACAACTGACTGCATTTGTTGATTGTATACAAGGATGCGGTGTAAATGAAGTAGATATAAGAGAAGAATGTTCTTGCTGTGCACTATGTGTACCTTTGAATGAAAACTGATGCAAGTATGAAAAATTCTTAGATTTTATTTCTTTTATAATATATTTGTGATTGTATCATTAAAACACGGCAAATTTTTTTTTAATTTTTGAAAACAATACTGTCATGCTTTTTTATTACATTCAAAATCAAATTTCTAAATTATAAAATTTGCATTTTCCTTTAACCTAAAGCAAGACAGCCTGCAGTTTTCAAAAATAATATTGTATTATTTTAATTTAATTTTTAAAGCAAAAAAATTCAGCATTTAGACTTAACTTTATTTCGTTGATGCGAATTTGAAATATGAAACGACTAGAGTAAAACAACAAAGCCCATGGTTTTTTTCTTAATGTGCAAAGCTCACAATTTTAGAAAAACTTATAATTATACATTACATGCGTAACTTAACTAAAAGCAATACGGTAGAAACCTGCAAGAAATATGTGCTTTTTAATAAATTTTGAGAACGGTTGTGATAAATTGAATACATTTTGCAGCTCATAATGGCATTCGCATAAATTTTGAGAACTGTTGTGATAAATTGAATACATTTTGCAGCTCATAATGGCATTCGCATTTTATCATAAAGTGGGAAAATATAGACTAGAAAACTTCCAGTAGATTTATGAAAAGTCATTAGCAGTAAACAAATACATAATTTATTTGCAATAAAACAATTTATTAATTTGAAAATGAAATGTTGAAATTAAAGAAATAGCTGAACTAATAAATGCAATGATATCTTCTCTATTACAGGTAAAATTTTATAAAAATAATGCTTACATCGATTGCAATGTTATCAAGAAGCAGAAGAATGAAAGATAATGTCTTCCAAATAAATAAAATTATTTGATTTTAAGCTGATGTCTAAGCTTTTCCTTTTTTGTGTTTAAAAAATCATCGCACCAATTATAGATAAGTGTTGATTTTCTGCAGCAATTTTAAACGTTAAGGAAAATCTCAATTACGAATATTGGAGGCATTACACAGCACCGAGTAAACATGACCATATTTTGATAGTTCTAATTTTTTTAAAACATTTATAAATATTAGTCTTAGTTCTTTAGAAATTTATAATTAACTATATTTATAATAAGAAATTCATTTGTTAATGAATAGTACTTTCATCCTGCAATGACGCTGTTTTTACCACCCTCTGTGCTCAGAGTTCCCCGCTGCACTAAAATTGAAGCAAAAGTCGAATTCTTTTAAAACTTGTTTATTTTACTATACAAAATAATAATCAATTGCAATTAATATCTATATACATTAATACAACAATAGTGCAAATATTTCTGCAATGCGAGTTATCTCGTCCGTCACGTTGAAGGAGTTAATAAAATGCTTCTTACTACTTTGTTTTAAATGTAAATCTTAGCACAAGTGTCACAGGTTATACTACGGTAAGTCCAAATGTAGTTACATATCAATATAATAAAGTAAAACAATGATATAAACTGAGTCTGGAGGGAAAAAAAGAGAGGCAATTTAATTTTTATTTGATTCTCAAGCTCATTTTAAATAAAATCGTGATATTAATATGTAATTTTAATACATACTTTTCTATATCTTCCTTTACATAAAATCTATAATTCGTATAAATGAAATAAATTCTGCATTCACTAATTCTTTTAATTGAAAGGATTTTTTAATTAAGATCAACTGTCTTGATTAATATTTTAAGGCATTTCCAACTATTTAATACCTTAAATCTCCGAAAGCAATTGAATTGTTTTCGTTTTTTTTAACGGAAGTTGTTGTTTTTTTTAAACGAAACCAGAAATTTTTTAGGATTTAGAAGGAAGAATGACGCTATTCCTTAAATAATGATTTATGACAATTTTTTTCATTAAAACAGAATAAATAAAATTTGGATAAAACTTATCTTTAACTTATACATTTAATTTTTTAATAGTTTTGAAACTGAAACACATGCGAAATAAAAATTAGTTTTTGAAATTAATTTAAAAAAAAACAATCATTTCCACAAAATATTAGCAAATAGAAAATATATTTTAATCGGAAAATTTCATTACATTTCTGCCTCTATCTGAAATCGTTATTTAGAATGAGACTTATTAAATCTAATGGTTGAAAAAATCTTTAGAAAATGGTATTTAAAAATCAGTAGAAAAGAATTTAATGTCATAGGATTCACTTAATTATTTACCTATTAAAGTACCGTAACAGTGCAGTAAGAGCAAGTAGTGTTAAAATTTAACTGTTCCATTAAACCCCCTTTTTAAAAATACACGTTTGAACGATATTTATTAAATTGCATGAAACTTTATCTATGAGATTGATAACGTAGGCAGCTATTAAATTATTAATCCCAAAAACCTGAAGCTGTAAGATATTATCGTAATTGTAAACTTCACCCGCATCCAAAATATACAAATGTAAAATAACAGTCAACATGTTTCAAGCACTTAAAAAATAGGCACCCATTTTTAAAACTTGCGAGATGCGAATGTTAAGAAACAAAAATGATTTGAAATAAAAAAAAGTTAAGTTGCCGATGAAAACTGGAAAAATAAAAGTGAGAAACTGAAAACCAGAAAAAACACAAGAGGTCCACAAACAACAAAACCACAGAAGCCAAGAGAAAAAAAAAAAAATTAACAGAACAAAAAAATTCACAGTAGCCGAGAGGCAAATCAGGGTAAAATGTATTTCCACTCTTTATGTGGGGTGGAAGTAATGTTGTTAACAAGAAATTTAGCATTCAAATGATTACATAATATAATCAAGATGAACTGATGTGATTGGGGTGAAAAAGAATTTTTAGCATTGCCGAAAATGAATTTATGTCCAACATTCTAACAATTTGAACCAATTGAAGATTTCTCATATTATCTATAATTTAGACTTGGACACGATAAATAAGCCCGTTATTTTCTGTTTTTCATATTTTATCTCTCGTCTTATGCGTTTTATGCGTCTCTTATTTTTTCCTTTTTAACAGGTAAACTTTAACAGACTTTTTTATTTTAAATCATTCTTGTTTCTTTACATTTACTTCTGGCAAAGTCTTCGAAATGGAGGCCTATTTTAGAAGAGCTTAAAATATATCAACTGTTATTTCATAAAGGTATATTTTAAAGTGAATAATTTTTTTAATTTTTATTCTCAAATTTCAGCTTACTTTGAGAAAAAGTATTTTCGTAAATTTTTGAGGTTTACTTTAGATTTATAATTTTAATACTCCTTCTCTCCATAATAAATGTGAAATTTTTATTCAGGTTGTTTTTTTAAAAAATTGCGTCTATCCCAGACGGATACCTTAATAACATCGGTTAATGTGTTTATTAAGTTTTCTTTTTTACCATGGATTTTTTCTTAACAATTCACACTCTTGATATTTTCTGAATTTTTTTAAAAATAATTTCATTAACTTTCATAACGAGATAAAAGTGGATAAAACATATTTTTAAAAAATGGTCTGATATATTGTGAAGATAAAATAACGCTTTCTTAGCTATTTGTGAAGATAGTTTATTCCATAAATTATAGAGAAAAATGTATGTAGCGAAATATATGACAAGACTACATTTTCATATTTATTACAGGTTAAAACCACGTTTTGTAAATTTTTGTCATTTTTCACTTAGAAATGAGCATGGTCAAAGCTACCTGAATATAGTAAAATTTACCGTGTTTCTGTCTCTACGGAAACAACAAAAAGCTCGGTAATTTTAGTGAAGTGATCCACTGAAGTGATTGGTAATAATTTTAGTGAAATGAACAAAAAATCTGGTTTAATAATATGCGATAAGATTTGGTAGATGATGTAATTTTATCAAGGCATTTAGAGCATAAAAAATAAAATTAATGTCATAAAATGTCATAAAAATTCTTTCACAATTATAAATACTTTTCAATTTATTAGTTTTTACTATATATGCGGTAATAAGAGGTATAGATTTTAAAACTAGAATTTTCGCTTAGCTGTCATATTACCAAACAGAGAATTTACCAAATGAATGGTTTAAATTCCGTAAATTTTTAAATTTATTAGCAAGAATAAGGGGTTTGTTATACCAGAATTGTCATTATCATACAGTACAGAAATGTTACCAGCAGTTTTTTTCCTAGTACGTTAACTTTTAAGAAATAACTGGAAGATCTATGCGATTGTTTTAGAACATAGAGTAATGATATTACACATTTATTAATCAGCCTAAGAAATATCAGCCCACTCTTCTTTTTAAGATAATAAAGTATTGAGAAATGTTATTCTTCCAACAAAATCCTTATCAATATTTTGAAATAAACATTTTACTAATTTTTCAAAGTCTAAATATTAATACACATTTAATGGTACCATTGAGTCTGTTCGAAAAGTAATCACTTGGTAAATTTTCTTTGTTTTTGTTTGACTTTGTTTTTTACATATTTTAGTTGTTATTCAAACTCATAAAGTCAAAATAATCTTAATAAATGAACAAATGTATAAAATATTTCCTTAAAAGTATAATACTATTTTCAAAATTTTATATTAAAAAGTTAGAATTTATCATTCTATGATAATTTATGACTGTGTTAATGTTATGATTCTGTGATATGCAATTAAATAATTTAAAGTTCAATGTGCTTGTTAAAATAATTTGTGCAATAACATCTGTATCATACGTAGCCTTAAATACGTAGGTTGCGCTATGAGATATGCAAACACACCTACATGCACATTGCAATGTGCGAATGCAATTTACATATTTTAACATTCTGGGTAAAATCTTGATTGTTATAATAAATTTCAGAAACTTTCCAAAACTTTCATGGAATCGTTACTTTTGGTTTATTTAAGGAATACTTTTTTTCGTCTTTTATTTCCAATGGCAAGGCAAAAAGGTACAATTGGAAAGATGAAATAGATAACGAATGCAAATGTACAAAGGATAACAAAGAAAGAAGACCGAAGTCATTGCCTTAAAAGTTCTCTTGCTTCCCAATATCTTGAGGACTCAGTGTGTCCATGAAGGGCCCCACAACCCTGCCCAATTTGTCACCAGATTTACAAAGTGGACAAAAAGGCGTGGTGAAAAGGCCTATGCGGTATAAGTGAGCAGAAAAAGAATCGTAGCCTGTATATAAGAGGAAGGCCGTTATTGCATCACGTCTTGGTTTGTCGGGAACAGTGGCGTAGCGAGCTTAACTCGCTCCCGGGGCACAATAACCCTTTTAGAGCCCCCACCCCATTCAAAAACCATATAATATTATATGTAAAATGTACTCTCAAATTAATAAATAAATAAAGTAAAATAAATAAAGTCATAGACTTAAGCTAGGCTTTAAATTTGAGACAAAAAATGTAGTTGAGAGAACAAATCTAGATTTTGAAATGTATATGATCATCTAGAATTAGTTCAAAAGATACCTATTATTTATTTTACATATTTATAAAGAAATATTTTAAAAACACGCAGTTTTAAAACAATAAAAAAGTAAATATTTATTATCTCTAAGGAGATACATATATTTAATAATCATATGATTATAATACATTAATAAAACTAATTACTATGTCTAAATTTTCCGTGCTTTTGATGAAGCAAATGTATCAATAATATCATCAAAATTGATCATTTAAAATTTTTCTCTTTCCACACTTAAAAATGCTAGGTCACTTAGGCGATCTGTCAAAATTAATTTTAATTTGCTGAACGACCGTTCGCAGCTAGCAATTGATACTGAGATAGTCAGGAGTATTTTAAATGCCGCTCTCAGGTTTGGAAAAACATCTTCTCCATTCGAGATTGATTATAAAAGTAAAAAATTCTAATGGAGTTTTAAGTTTAATTTCTTTTCTACTGCGGAGTAACATTTTTCTGTCACATATTTTGATAAAAAGTTCTATAACATTG